ATACTGAACGTCCCCCAGGTGCTATTATATCCACTCAAAGTTAAGCTGCATAAGTGTAGATGCCATGTTTGGGGTTCATGGCTAAGTATCAAGATACTGAACGTCCCCATGTTCTGGATAATCGCCCAAAGTTAAGACAAACTGGGTAAGTGATAAACTCGTGGTAGAGATCCTTAAGGTGCTTAATGTAAGAATGAATCCGTAGTGGAGAGACTTGGGGTATACTGGCGGATAATTCCGTAGTGGAGAGGTGGTATGAGCTGACGGAGAGCCGACGATAATCTGACAGAGCGCCAGCGGAGCGCTAAAGGGGCGATGACCAGCGGAGGGTTGATGGAGGACCCCAGGCGGTTTCGGGAAAATGGGTGGAAAAAGAGAGTTATTTTAAAATGACAGTTTTGATTGATTAATGGTATTATCCTTAGAGATTGATATGAAATTTTGACAAAAGTGGTATTAATTAGAGGCGGTCTAAAAAGTGTTCTAGAAAGGACAATTATATACTACTCCCTACCACACAGCTGATTGAAATCTATTGTTTTAAAAGAAACACACTATTCCGTAAAAAAATTTCACGAGAAATTGCTTAATCATAGGGAAACTTTTCTAGGTCATAACTCAGCTAGCTGAAATTCAGATAACAGTAACTAATAGTAAGACAAATAAACGTGAAAAGAATTCCCTCCTCCATCAAAAAAAAGCAAAAAACATTTTGCATCTTGGTGTAGAAATACGAGCTCTCAACAGAAAGCTCCATGTTCTCAACTTTAACCCAATTTATATTTATTTTTCATGGAAGGTCTCAAAACCCGTGAACCCATCCTTCCTTACTAACCCTATGCCCAATTTCCTGGTTATTTTTAAAGGCTACTAGAACAAATTTCCAGGCGGTCTCAAGTTTCGTTCAATCACAAACTGATTCTCTCCAACGCGATGCCTCTCACCATGGACCAAATTCCACCTTATGAGTACAACAAATATGTGTTTGCCACAAGATGTGCCGTTCTCACTTGCTCTGCTCTTGAGGTGATTCGATTCCCTTTTATCTACCTAATTTGACCGTTTCAGCTGATGATGGTTGTTCTCGGCTCACTGGGTGACAGTAATGTCCTTGCCAAACTCTTCTATCTCATCTTCATTGGAGCATCAGTTTCTGTTTCTGCGTACAACATTCACATGTCAACCGACGGACGGGATGAGATCAAAAAAGTAGCTAGAGCAGGAGACAATGAGACACGTGGCAGAGCAGCTGCTCTCGTCGCAATCCCAGCTCTTTCTGGAGTATAATAAAAGACCACTTGACATACTGTTTTATTTACCATTGTACCAAAAGATAACTTGTGAAAAAATAAAAATCCCTAGAACTATTAGAAAAAGGTAGAAACATGTGAAAATATTGAAACAATAAAAAGGATCACTAGCGAAAATATTCGAAAATTGGAAGGATTACTGTAGGGGGAAAATATTAGAAAATTGGAAGGATTATTTTGGATATCATTGTCTACAACTCAGGTTATTCTCAGGGAGTTACCCGTGGGNTACTGTAACCAGTTGAAATTCTCTTCATAATACATTTTAGCTATGCTCAGTTGGTCTGGTTGTCTGGGGAGCTTTCATGACAGATAGTTCATATGATCGTAAACTAAAAGATGTTGTATTCAATTACAATTCATCCGAACCATTAGCTGGTGACAAGTCCAACATGAGATCTTGGGTACTTTGAGAGTATCTGTGATAATTTCAAGAAAACCGAAATATTTCAGATTTATTCAACATATTGGAGCATTTGGGGATTATGTGTGATTGCTGCTATAATTGCCATCATTAATAGCTGCAATCATG